TAAAAGCATCACCCAACCACTGCTTCTCCCCTCCATACGTTATTTGTCTCCGTTAAACAGCTACATAATGGGAAGATCTGCCTGCGCTGAAAGGTCAGCTGCAAAGCCTACTCGCAGTTCAGCTCTTCCATCTGCTCCTCATTTTCTCTTTTTTCCTCCTACCCAGATGCAGCTGCTTGCCCTGCTAACGTAAGCAGCCGAAAGCCCCGCTGCATCAGCCCTCTGCTCAGCCAGTTCCTCTGCTCCCCTCCCAGCTTTATGAGGGCAAATGCCCCCCGACACACTGACGCACTGACAGCACATCGAGGGGAACCACTCTGCAGCACAGATGCTCCCGGCCTCAGAAAGCCATGGCTCGGGACAAGTCCCAGGGGATCCTGGTCCCAACGCCTGGTTCTGCCCAACAAGAAACACATTTCCCATCGTCGCGGCGGCCGCACATCTGCTTTTCCTCTGCTCCAGCGTGCCCTCATGCAAACCCGAGCTCAAATTTGGGGCTGTGCTTCAGTTTGGAGATGGGGCGGGTAGTCTTTTGGCAAAGCCTAAAGGCGTCACCCAAATTTTCCTCGTCAATCCGATATAAAGGCTGCTGTCATCTCTTCGGAAAAGCTGGCGATGGGGAAGCACCAGCAGTTAAAACTGCAGCGGCTGGTGGCCCTCCTGCAACAGCTGGTGGCCCTCCTCAGCAGCAGGGAGACCTCAGCACACACTTGGACCCCTGTAAAGCCTGGAGCGAGGACAACCAGGGCTCCACCACCACACCCACAATCCCCGAGCAGGGGCTTGCAAACACAGCAACACCACCACGCAGGGCCAACCAAAGGTAGATTAGGTTGCTCAGGACCTTGTCTAGAAAACTGTCATTTTCTCTCCTGAACTGCACATATTTTTCAGCATTTTATAGAGACCACTACGTCTCTAATGAATCAACTGAGCACTGTAATCAGTCTGTAATTACCAATTATTCTGGGATTTCTGTACAAAATAATAATTTATCCTATAGTTTTCAGTTACTAATGTTGCCAGTTCACCCCAGGACACCATCCCCTACACATCTACGTGTTACTCCAGCTCACCAGCACAAAAAGCCAGAGGAACATCATGGTGTCCTGCAAGAAGGACCATGCAGATGTCAGATGAGAGAAGTGACCTGCTGGGTCTCCTCCACCTTTGGGGTAAAGCACTCTGCTTCCTCCCAGATGGTGTTTTAGGTGCTTTTATTTGAAAAGGACTTCCAAGATGAGTGTTTTGGCATCAAAAAGAGTAAAAGCATCCCTACTGACTTCATTTGCATCCTTGCAAGCTCAGGGGGTGCAAGACAGGCTCTCAGACTCGGAATATTTGCACCCCAAAACACAGGAGCTTATGATGATCACACTGCCACTGTTACCTTGTGCAAATTACACAGCCAAGAAAAAAAAAAAATTGCAGGTATTTTGGACAGTAAATATATCTTCTGCCTTCCTCTGCCCTCAGCTCTCTAGAGAGCACTCACACACACGGACTCACATTCAAGGTCCTGCAGAACCCAAATGATGTTCAAGATAATGGCTCTTAGATTGGCTCTCCAAGACCCTTCTGCCCCCCAAAAGCAGGGGTCTCTCAGCAACTAAAGTGAGAAGCAGGGCAAGTCACAGCCTTCTGCATTGTTCACCTGTCACTTGGGTCCAGGCAAGCCCACAGGAGCCACCTCTGCCCAACCTGGGCCAAATGCAGTTTCCACCGTGTGTAAGTGGAGAGCAGAGTTTTTGTGTTGCCATTTCATTATTCGTTAAATGCAGTTACAAATCTGGCAGCCCAAGTTTCATCCTTCCAACATCAGCTTTCCTCATCTGTTAGAAAATCCCCAGAATAGATTACATTATTGCCCTGGGGGTCAGAAATGTTTTAAAAGCCTCCCTAGCGCTGCAATTTAAAAAGAAACAGAACATTTCAGAAAGGACAATCTTCAGGCAACCTCTGAAGCAGCCGATACGACGAAGGCACGCGTATGGCAGCGTGAGCTCGTGCCTCACCATGGATATCAGAAAGGCTCTTTTTTCCTTAACCTGCCCCTAATATCAAAAGTTCACATTAAACTAATTATCTGCACAGTCTTTGTCCTTCTGTCAAATTTGGCTGAAATGGGTCAAGTTCAAAAGTTACTGGGGAAAGAGAAGAGAGACCGATCCATGCAGCCCTTAGCCCATAGGAACCTACACTGAAATTCAGGCTGAGCTACGTGCTGTGATCCATGTTCACTGGGGTATCAAAACTAAGTCAAACAAGCCCAGAAAAGCAACAAAACCCAATATTCTTCATAGCTATTATGGTAATGTTAGTAGGATATGGCATACGCCTAAAAAAGAGAAACTAAATCCTCGCTGGGATTTAAAAAATAATAATGAACCTACAGAACTTCATAAAGAAGAAACTGTTTCTGCTGTAAAGTTTTACTGTAGGGCACAACCCCCTCCTCTTAAGATGTTAACTACCAAAATATTGAAAGCATCTTATAAAAGCTGTTTTCTCTTTGGGCCCTGTCTCCAGGGCTCTGGATCACTTCAGCCCTTTAAAGCTTGCAGCTTGGTTATACCCCCACAGCTCACAAATAAACTCAAAGCACCGCTGGCCAAGAGATGCACGTGGGACCACACCTACCTCTGACACCAAACACTGTTCAACATCCACTCCTTACTTCTGCATTTGTACATATCCACCTCCTGAAACAGGAGCTTATTTGATCACCCTGAAGGGGACTGAATAATTACATCAATTTGACTACGGAACGGGAGGTAATAAAGCCTGTCTACGTGCTTCTGTTGAATAAGAGACTCAGACTGGCTTTATGTTTAGTTTCCTCCTTCTTCGGGTATACGTATTGCCTTAGAAGTGCAATTATTGTCACCTCCTTATCAGATAGCGTAGCCACAACCATACAGGTGTAGTAATTCAGTGTTTGCTGGGTTTGGCTCAGTCAGTTTTGCAAAGTCAGGAATAAGACCAGCTGCACAGCTCGCCTGGACTGCAGGTCCTGGGGGAAGGAGAGGGGAGGAAAAAAAAGCCTTTCGGCGACATTAACACCACTTTCCCAGTGCAGATGTGGCAGCAGGCCACTGCCAGGCACCAACACCACACCCAGGAGAGCCAGAGCAGCACCAAAATCACTCACCAGGAGCTGGGACAGGCACAGTGCTGGGGATGATGCTCTGTCCCAAGGAAAATTCCATATTTCCTCCCAGCGTTTCTGGTGTTCAGAGCTCTGCAACTAAACCACACGCACAAGCTCTGCCAGAGTATGACTGACACAGAAAAGAAGGAAGGGGGAAAACCTGCCACAGGCACTGCTACTCTAGCAGTGGTTAGCCACATCCTGCAAGAGCAGAAAACCACCCTAAAACTGCCATTAAACAGCCCAATTAGAGCAAACTCTCCCATTTTCATTTCTAATTAATTAAAGTTTTCATTTCCAACAAACTGCTTGTGCATGAGTATGTAACCTCCTTGCTCCAGCACCTCTTCTGGGGCCTAGCTTGGCCATGCACCCCATGGGTGCTGCAGCCCCATCCCAGGGGGTGCCGGTGGGTTCTGGGGGGTCCCGGGGGGCTGCTGCGGGTAGGTACCGCCTGAGGGAGACAAACCACCGCGCTGGGCCCCTCACTCCCATGAAAATCAGCAGCCCCATTTGCTGGCAGGTTTTCCACCCATTTCCCCTCATCCTAAACTTAATTTACTCAAATCAACTGGTGGAGCCCCAAGTGCTTTCACATCACGGATGCAATGGCAAAACAGGCTTGTCCTATAAAACTAACCTCATCTCACAGCTCTCCCCTTCTGGGGATGGTGCTGCTGGGGAAACGGTGATGTCTTCCCCAGGGAGGGTCACAGGTGTCCGGGGAAAATGAAAACTGAACACAGCTCTATTTCCCTTCCAATCCTCCTCCCTTCAGTTCCAAGTCCATCACACACAGAAAACTCAACAGATGTTTCCATGGTTTAAGGGCATTCAGGGGGAACCAAGCCAGCTCATGAGGTGGTGGAGACACGGAGTGAGTTTTCCTAACAAACTCCTTTAGGGTATTTAAAAAAAAAAAAAGCATCAGCCATACAAAGGAGAAGGTTAATTACTTTTGTTCACCTTATAAATAACAACAAGGCAAATAGGGAAGAAGCCCCTTCCAGAGCATCAGGCGGGGCAGGACTCACTGCACCCACTCAAAAAGCAGGAACAGAGCTGGAAATGTGCTGCAAACACAGAGGATCTACACGGTGATTTTTAGCAACCCATCACACGGAGCGCATGGCACGGGAGTCCCTCCCTGACAAGCCACGGAGCCCCTTGGAGCCGGAGCACTGCGGCCATCCAAGTGCACTGATGGGGACTACGGGGGGCAGCCGGGAGGCTGCAGCTTGGGATGTGGCCAGAACAAGTTCTCCCTCCTCCCGCAGAAAGCAGCTCAGAGCCTTTAACAACTCCAAGTTACTAGCTTTATTTCACCCCCAGAAGACACCTCCCTCTAACACAGAAACACTTCTGGGGTGCCCATAGGGAAGGGCAGCGACTCCAGAACTACCCTTCCTCCTCCTCTTCCAAACCTCTGCAAAATCCTCGCTGACAGGCTCAGCAGGACACCCCTGCTCCCAGAGATGGGCAAATGAGGACTTATCAACACCTGAAGCTCTTTTACTGGCATCCCCAAACTTCGCCACCTACAGCTGTGAGTGGGACAAACCCTAAAGCCTTCACTAACCTTGCAGTCCAGTGAACTCTTAGGCAAGAGCGTAAATAATACCATGAAACGGCTCAAGTAATTCAGCCCCATAAACATTAATGGAGAATATTGCCCAGGCTCCTTAGTTTTAAGACTAAATCCCTCAAAAGCTATCACTGCTGAAGGAGGAGGGAAGAAGGGGAGAAAAAAAAAAAAAAAAAAAAAAAAAATTTAGTGCCATGGAAAAGATGGAGAGGACCATGGAGTGCAGATTAGAAGAGAATAAAAATAAAAGGAATAGCAGAGTTACCGGGTAACCGTCACGTCCTGACTGCCCCTGTGGTGGGGGAACAAGTGAGATAACAAATCAGTCAATTCACCCGTAGCAGCATGACAACATGTAGCAGCAGGCAGGAGACGGGGCCATCGGCTCCCCAGACAACCCCAGGACTAAACTTTCTTCAGAGAAACCCCCTCAGGGCAATTTTCCTATCAGAAAGGCCGCACATACAGCATATTTCCACCAGATTTTGATCTTGTGCTTCTCTTTAGCTACTTACCAAGGCTTTTGCCCACTCACACCCATCTCTGCTGCCCGTGCTCAGCCCCTGCTGCCCCCAAACCAGGGATGTGCATGGTACCCACTAGGTCCTGGCCACAAACCTGCCCTGGGACGTGGGCACCGAGAGCTACGGGAACACCCAGGTGCTGGGGAGAGGCCGGGGAAGCTGTGACACAGCTGAGCCAGCAGCCAGGACACCCCCAGGAGCGATCACTGGGCTTCAAACTCCTGTTTTCTTAACTCTACTTTTTTTTCCCCCCTCTTTTTAAAACTTGATTCAATGAAGGTTTTCCCCCTCTTAGATCCATTGACTTCCTCAGAGGATGCAGCTCTCCCAGCTCACCTCTAAGCTTTGCTTTAGTTTGCAATGAAGCAAAAAGAAAAGCCGCGGGGAAGGACCTTACTGAAGTTACCAGCAACACCCGCAAGATCAGCGGAATAAACCACAACCCATTCAGGATATTTCACCTTTTCTACTCTCCTTAGGCAGGGGGGTGTCCCAAAGGCATCTAGAGCTCTAGCTGCCATTAAACATACGGTGAGCTACAGCAGAGGAGCCTGCTGCAGGCCAGACGTAAGGCAGATTCCCAGGAAGGAGCTGTTAAGTATTAGCTGGTACACAAGTAGGCAGTAAAGCGTGTGTCTGGTACAGCAATGTCATCTGCTACCATGAACATAGGTTATGTCAGCATGCTGCGGATGCACAGTCAGATTCATACATTTCTTACGGCATGAAATAGCTCTGGCAGCCCCCTACATGCCATGGACGGGGGTTCTCCCGTCTTCCTAAGTGCCCCTGCAGCTTTTAATGCCTCCTGCAGCCCTATGGATCCATCCAGAAACAACACTGACTTCAACAGCCACCTATTTAACAAATTAGTCTTGGGATAAAGCGTACAGTGAGATTTTTATGGAGACGTATGGCACTGGAGCACACACAGATAAATAGGAAACACTTGTAACTCCCAGCCCTCGCTCGCTGGTGAGTTCGCCAGCCAGCATGCTAATACATAAAGTGTTTGTTAATATCTGGGACTGTAAATGTTTAATTACAGTCTGTGGTAAGTCTATCCTTCAATTGTAGAAATTTCCTACCCAGCATGTGATTTTAATACCCTCCGAAACAGAGGTTTTATAGCACATGTGAGCAGAATACCCCTTACTCACAGACAGGACGATAAATCATCCAACAGCCACAAATCCTGTACCACAAATTCTAATAATTTCATATACACAACTAGCTTATGACAGCCAAAAAATAAAATACCAGAACAACTGCTACTAGGGAACAACAGAATGAGGATATAGTTTTAGCAGAATGCGATGCTGTGCATGTAAGATGTAATCAATTCCTTATGGACAAAATCAAAAACCAGAAGAAACTAATAGAGTTAAATACAGTACTGTTGAAATAAAATAATATTGTGGTTCTGTGGGTTCTAGAACTTTTATTATATATTATGTTTAAAGAAGTTTCTGGCAAATACTGCTTATGCTAAAAATGCAGTATTTTTTTTTTTTAAAAAAAAAAAAACCAACTAAACCAGGAGTTGCCTTTTAAAGAAGGGCAAGGACAGGGCGGGGAGGGGGGGGGGGG